TGTTTTGTTTTTTTTTTTTTTTCATTGGGGTGCTAGATCGTCGATTCTGCAATCAACTGGGCACAAGACGAGGCAGGCAGTGACGCACGAAGGCCGCATATTCGTAACTCTTGACGTTCAGACTCAACAGGTGAGCATCGATCGCACAAAACCTACAAATGAATAACCTCTTCAATACAGGCTGCACTTGATGTATACGGGGTCTCACATCCTATTGATTCAACTATAGCATCCGAATTGCCTGTTATCAGCGAGCAGCCAGCTGTGTTGCAACCTGGGGCGATCGTGTCTTGTGACGTGTTCCTGGGTCGGGACGAAACCAAAGTGGTCAGTGGCGTTGTGGGTACTGCTCTGTGGCGCGTCGTGAGTGGTTTCGCGACCTATCGATTGAGCTAATCTATATCTCTTACAGGAATGGATGATACTTGCTACTCATGTAACTCGCCTATACCGCTCAGCAACGTAGGATCGTCAGGACATAGCGATCAAGCTAACTGCCCTTGTATTCAATTTCAAATTCATGATCTATTGTTTTACTTCAGGCTAAGTTTTTTTAAGATTCGAGTCGGTATCGCTCTGGCACTTTGCCTGCCATGTCCGTTTCGCGCGAGTCTCTACTGGCATCGCCTGATTATATGGCGACGCCCAATTTCATTCAATCACACTACTGGTCTCGTAAACCGGGCATCAATAGTTGGATTCGTCGAAGTGAAGAACTGAACCGTACCTTGAAGGTAGTGGGTATGGTGAGCGACGACCGACTGGCCATGACGGGGATTGGTAGCTGGGTCTCTGACTGGGGAGGATTGGAGAAGGCTAGATTTCAACTTACTTTGGAGGAACCCGGTATGTCTATATGTTTCTTTTCATGTTGCGCTGATTTCAAGTAGAAGGATCGATTTATGTTCAAGATTGGCTTACGAGCAAAGACGTCGCTCGTGAAGTTCAGCGCTTGAAAACTCCTGACACCTCGAAACACGCTCACTGGACTGTGGTTGAAAAAAAGAGGGTAATCGATTCACTTTACGCTTCAGTCGCCACCTTTTCCCTAAGAAGAAGATTTCGTCTCAAGGTAAGAGTATTGCTGAAGCTCTTCACATTGTTCATGTATTACAGATAGCAACGATGCAGCCAAATGGCCGGTGCCACTGCATCACGAAGCGGCGTTCAAGAAAGGCGCTGAAGTATATGGTTTCCATTGTCCAGTCGTAAAGGACGCTGAAGGCAACATTCTGCGGGACGAATCACTCCTCGATGCAATCAACAGCCTACCTGGATGCACCGTTCTGGTGGAATTCCATCTCGTGCATCGTGTGATGAAGGGCGAAAAAGAAGGAGTCAGTTCATTCAACGGTAAATGATTCTAAACAAACAGGAATACTCTAATATGTTGTAGCCCTCATCCAAAGCGTACAAGTTCTCCATGAACCTGGACAAGCACCTTCAGCACCAAGCTCTCAAACCGCTCCGATAATCACTGCTTCTCATATGGCACCCTTTACTGTTGTGCCAGCCGCATTGACCGCTCCTCCCATGCCATCGACATCAAATTCCAGTTCTATGATCCCAGATGTCACTAATCGCCTACAACGACCCAGCGATGAGGCGATAGCGTCACCGACCACATCGCGCACAATGTCTACGCCGCCGACCAATATTGTTCCTCCATCGTTGACGTCTCGTCAGCCACTTGCGGATATGCCGCCTCCGATGGTGTACAAACCAAATCCACGTTTGGCGACGCAGAGCTATTTGGAGAGACCTTCTTCTCCTATAACTCCGAGGCAACCCGAGCGCAAGACCATACCGTCGTTTATGGCGTTGAACGATTCCACGACTCCCATCCGGTCACCTTTCCTCTTCACTCCGCCAACAGGTCCTGCTAGAACTGCAACACCATTCCAGATCTCAACCTCTTTTTATACTGGCTCTGACACAACGCTTAACCCTTCCTGGTTATCCCCTAGCCCTGTCGCCAATGCTCGACCTGTTCGACAAGAGGGACAATTCACGCCAACGGAACATTTCTCGAGTGATTATGGTCCTAGCGGATACTCTTATGGCGAGTAATTTGTCTATTGAACTGCATTAGGTTAATGTATCATAGGAAACTTTGCACCTGTAACAGACGATGGGACGAGACGGCCCCGTTTTATCTGAAAAAGGTTGGGTACTATTGCGTAAACGAACTATCGCTCAACTTTTCTCAGCAAAAGGAAAACGTCGCGCACATAGCCCATTGGAGGGCGCTTCTGGCAGCAAGAACCAGAAAACTTGATTTATGGTCCTTTCTCTTGGTCGTTACTGGCGCTATCCCCCGTGCGACTGTACTGATTTTACATTTCGTGTAATTGTACTTGTACAAATTGTGTTGAAATACTGTCCAGAATACTATTCGATGTCCTCGAACCATTCAGCTAGGTTGAGCGAACCACTTGCAATAGTTTTTGCAAAACGGCGTTCAATGCCCCCAATCCTGTACTGGTTGACATTGCCGTGAGCTACTGCCGATATCTGGTTGAACACGCTCCGAAACGCGAGCAATATGGATCGAATCCTATTGTGGTAGTGAGTAGTTACTTTGACAAACAATGTCATGACCACCTTTTGACTTCGGCAGAATGTGGAGCCCACTCGAAGCGGAGGGGCATCATATAGAAAACCAGGCAAGGGGCAGAATCATGAGAATCACTGGGATACGGACCCAATTCAGTCGTGGGCTTCAAAATTACATCCTCGATGCCGATGGCCCTTGTAGCTCGCGTGAGGATACGGCGTGCGTGAAGGAAAAACGACCAAGGGAGAATCATAGGGATGCAGAGGGGGTGTTCGGGATTTGCAATGACTATCCCCATATCCCGCGAAACAAGTACATGCCGTGGTGCAAATTGCACACCATATGAAGAACCACTGTCGAAAAAAGGGAATGGGCGGAGGGTTGTTTCAAATGTACGACGGTGATATGTCGCCCGATCGATACGCGCTACTTGTGGTGCTGGGCGATAGAACAGATGGTAGTTCATGATCTAGCGGGACGTTGACCTTGCTGTATAATTGGACGAGCACTACTCACACCATCGGGATGTCGTTCGACTGCATATAACCTGCAAGATATATTACGGACATTGTGGGTAAAAACTCAGCACGTACCGTTGTTCGGCCTTGATGACCGCTGATAAAAAACAACTGTACTTGACGATCATGTAGGCCGAGTCCAAGTAGGACACCGCGAGGAAAGGTGGTTCGAAGAGGTACCAGCTATTGATGCGTAGTGTTTGATCCTGTTGCCGATTTAAAACTTCCGCAAATTTCGCTCGCGTGTGCGATAGCATTGAGCCCAGATAATGTCTGAATTTGACCCTATTACTCGCGGTATTCTGGCTACCGCGAAAGAACTGGGACAACTGCTGGTCGGTGAAATATAACCCCAGACCCTTTTAATGATAAGTAGATATATGCTGTTGGGTGTCATAATTACCTGGATGGCCAACGACACGAGCGGGGTTTCAAACTCATCGGTTGTAAAACTCTCGCGAGATCGCCGAACCATGTTCTCGTTAAATCGATTAGCAGATACTAAAACAATTAGTTGATCATTCCTAGATAGCGTCAAGACTAACATTCAATTGCTCTGGCGGTACGAGGAAGCATGATAAAAGTCGAGTTGTTCCAAGCCAATGCTAGCGCGTCGATTTCTTGCTTGAATATCCAATGCATGACGGTTGGAAATGGATGAAGAATAATGTCAACACGAGGATACGATTCGCTGACGAGGGACATGTAGTGTATTCCCCTCCAAACCCAAGTTTCGAATACATTGCTCTTGTAGCATCGATAAACCCGCTCGATACGTTCTTCAATCGACTGTGCGTGGTGGTAGACAAGGATGAGAGTGATTCTATCTTCGCTCCACTCAGAAACCCAACGCGGTCCCGGTATATCAGTCCCGACGAGAGCTTGAAAGACTGCTGAACCGACGGCCCATAGTCCACTCCAATTGAGACCTTCGAGAACACCTTGGGTGACAGACTTGAAAGTTTTTGCGAAATACGGGACTCGTTCTTGGAATGCGGCGCGACTTCGGACGGAAATCATCCAGAATCATGTAGGAGGCAGGGAGGTTCGTAGTAACAAAACTGACATAGTCTGTGTCGTCGTTACGCTGTGGCCAAATGTCGACAAAATCTTTGAATGAGAGCAGGCACAATTGCAACACAGTATACCCGGCTTTTGCGATAAGTGATTCGTTTGCTACAATCCTGTAATAGGTTTAGCAATAATGTACATAGACTACTGCACCGACGCACCAGTCATCCAATGCTTCTGGGCAACAGCGACGAACAGTGGAGTATTTAGCCCATATTCGTAAATGCACAGGGAGTGTGTCCCATAGCGCCAATTCTTGAGAAAGAGAAACTCGTTGCCACGCTAGCTGAACGAGTGTCGGTACAGGATCGTCAAGACTGGGATCTGCTTCCTCTTGTACTGCATTGACAGCATCAAAGGATTGCTGCTGTGTAGCGTTGCCCAATCTGCATACAATGAGGCAAAAGAAAGTAATAACCAACACACGTACCAAGGTAGCGCCAGGCATATCGCCGAATGTTGTCTGAGTCGTTGGACATGAAGTGGAAAATAACAGTAAAGGTCGTCGTTTGGAACAAATATCGATAATGTAGGATGTCTGAGTGCGCGCCTTGTCTTTCCATGGTCTTTGGTCATGACAAACATGTCGTTTGATCATTTATGGCACGTGCCTACGTATGAGGGCGTACGCTTACTAACCTAATTACCAAAGCAAGGTTGAGGCGCCGCGCAGCCGGCGACACCTAGTACTTATACGTGGCTATTGTTGCTCCATATAATTTTTTCAGAATGTATTTAGTGGGAATTTCAAATGCCATGCTTGTGACTAAATATGTACTACTTTGGATTGAATTTTTGTCGGAAACTGGCGTTTGATCCGATCAGTCCGTTTGTTTTTGTTCTTGTCCTAAACTTCCACGACGATGATCAAGTGAGTGGAAAATCACTTGAACTCCGTTGATTTCTCTTATTTTTTGCTTCAAGATGTTCGGGAAACTGCCCCTCTCACTGTGTCGCGTCGATATCCTATGAAAATCCGGCCATTCCACACCCTAACCTTGTCCATGATAACGACGCGGTACCCACCGATGCTCAAGTGGATGAGATACGGAGCGCAATAGCACTTGCCACTCAGACACTCGCTTCAATCGATCAGGCAATTTCAACCCTTCTGCGAGAGGTCGCTGAACTACATGACAAACGCCGCGAGACCGAGTTATTCATTGCTTCGCAGAGTGCAGTTATCGCAGGCGTCCGGCGTTTGTCCAACGAGCTGCTACTAGAGATCTTCTCATACTGCGCCAACCCAGTTTATCCTCCCTTCCACAAGTATAACCCCATCTCCAAAATCCTGCAAGTGTCGGGTCGTTGGCGAGCTGTCGCTCTCGGATTCCCTTGTTTATGGCAAAACATCAACTTAACCGGTGGACTTCGTCTTCGGGAAGAGCATCTACTTCGGCACATCTCTCTTCAGATCGAGCGCACCGGTCAGACACCGCTTTCTGTCCTCCTTCGAGCCTCCCAAACGACCAGTCTCGACTTACTCGGCGTGGTGATGGCTGAGGCTGCTCGCTGGCGGCAAGCGGACATCCATCTATATCCATTCCACCTACAGCATATATTTTCCGACCCGATACCAGTGTTTGGCATGCTCACCAAACTCTTGCTCGTTATCAACAGAGATCTTGAAGGTTTCTTGGGCATGGAGCCGGAAGGGTTTTTGGGTCGGTTCCCTGCGCTGGTAGAGCTATCACTCAAACTGGGGTTTCGCACAGTACCACCCGCATTTCACGGTGTATGGGGGCGGCTCCTCCAATGCAAACTGGAGGAGTGTCGCAGCAGAGACGTTTTGCACATTTTGCCGCTATTTTCGCAAGGTTGCCGACTCATCATGAAGGCTTGCGGGGAGGCAGACTTTACGGGAGGAGACCGGGACGAACCTTCTGGGCTTATTTGTCGCATCTCTGCACTGTCAATCGTCGCACCTCATTCTAAAGATGTGTTCTTCGGGGAATTGTTGAATTTGATCTTGGTGGCGCCGCACCTTCGGGAACTTTGTCTGCCTGCGACACAGAATCTGGTGCCATCGACTATTTCGTTTCTCGCACGTTCGGGCTGCGCTCTCTCCCACCTCCGCCTCCAAACACCTGACCAGCACGTTCCGAGTGCTGCCATCCTAATAAACTTCCTCAAGTGTTCAGAACTGCAAGACTTGCTGTACATTGACCTCGTTTTGCACAAAGAGCGGGATGCGGACTCGATATTCGACTTGTTCCTCCAGCCAGAGGTCCTCGCCCGACTGGAGACATTGACAATTCGCGAAACGGACGTTGGTTTTGTCTGGATAACGGAGCTCCATCAAGCGCGACAATCGGTTTTGCGCAAACTTGGTGTGCCGTATGGGACGATGGTTCCGAAGCCCCCTTTAGCCGGACTCGACGTCCATGTCTATCGCCAGCTAGGTTCGGATGAGAACCTCATTCCAGTAGCCCATGCTCCGCCTCGTGTTCTCATGCGGGGCGAAACCTGATGAATAAGTAAAGGTTTACTTTTCGTTACACAGGTAGTCACTTCGATCCCTTGTTTATACAGGTAATGGTCGGTGATTGTGAATTTGGATGGATTTGGATGTTGAAATTCAAAAGAAAACGACAATACGCTGTGCAGTAATAGCAGCCATCGAGATGCTCGGGGAGGCCAAACCAAACGGATAAAATATAGGATCGAATATGATCGGAACCAGCCGAGTAACGACACTGCCTTCGGGTCTCGGCCCGGATGGGTTTCCGTCTCACAAATCATATTGCACCATCCAAAACATGTAAAAATCGATTGAGTTGCCCGACACTGTTCTCTCTTCTCCCCCATGGACGCTACCTTCCCGGAAATTCCGCCCGACCATTTCTTATCCCTTTCCCGGCTTGATGGGCTGCTGGGCATCGCGGAGAGTACTTACGACACTTCCACCCTTGCTGCCCATGATTTCGATGTCGATAACCGGACGGGGTTTATGCCACCACAACCTCCACCCGCACGATTACCGGAGGCGTTTGAACATTGGGAGGAGGTGCTCGACGAGGCCATCAAGAGTGGCTTGCAGCTTGGCGACAAGCCAGGAATAACCCTAGCAGAAACAGAGTGCTCTGAGAAATGGCGGAGGAGTGTCCGACACGTATGACTATCCAAACCTCCCATCATACCCGGCTGACGGGCTTTCGAGCTCCCCATCCTACCCATAGCCGACCTCATTCGCTCGGAAACGAATCTTCGCCGGGCCCACCTCGTTCTCGCATGGGTCATGCACTTTTACATCCATTCGCTGCCCAGCGACATGCCAATCATTGTACCCGCGGCAATAACCGTCCCCCTCTTCAAAATATGCACTCAGTTGCAGCTCCCGCCTGTCCTGACCTACTCAGACACGGTCCTGTATAACTGGCGACTGAAAACTCCGTCAAACAGGGTCACACCCGCTCTAGACAACCTCGTCAGCAACACCCTCTTTACGGGCACAAATGACGAGCAGGAGTTTTACCTCACTTCAGCTCGGATGGAGCTACGCGGGGTCGAAGCATTGGACTTGATGCGGTCGACCATGGACGAGGCTTTTATTGGCGACACGATTGCCATTCGCCGTATAACGGCTTACCTTCAGCGCCTTGCTGTTGTCATTGACGAAATAAAGGCACTCTTCGCTGGAGTCCGCGACGGCTGCGACCCCTGGGTATTCTACAATGTCATTCGACCCTGGTTTCGCGGCGCTGACTCAGATCCTGGCAAGCGACGATGGGAGTTTGAAGGGCTCGACAGCGACCCAAACTGGGTTTATCCGACAGAACTCTCTGGCCCCAGCGCGGGCCAGAGCTCCCCTTATCCATGCATTAGACGTGTTTCTTGGTGTGCACGAGTTTTCGCATGCGCCAGATGGTGGCTCGCGACAGCCATTCCTCGAGCGAATGCAACTCTACATGCCCCGTCACCATCGCAACTTCCTTGACCACCTCACCGTCAATCCGCGGCCGTTGCGCGCCATCGTTATGGGTGCTGAGAGCAACGAGGAGCTGGTTACCGCCTACAACCTTGCTGTGCAGGCGCTCAAGCGATTCCGCGACTACCACATCACAATAGTCACGGCGTATATCATCCAACCCGCCAGGAAAGCATTGGTGCGTCCCGAGCCGTCGCAGGAGCCATTGAAGGGGACTGGTGGGACAGATTTGGCTAGATTTCTGAAGTCCGTTAGGGATCAAACGGCGGCAGCTAAGATCGAATAGAGTTCTAAGGGTTTATAAACACAGAATGTATCTTATCACTTATTAGATGATTTCCAGGTTCTTACTCCATTCACCGAGGAATTGCGTGTCCCAAAACTGGACATCGAATCCCGGAATCGGTGGTTGTGGGATGGTTGTGTTAATTGGGACGAGGAGTTTCTGCAATTGCGGCGCTCGTGCTTTATGGACAGCGAGAATCCAAGCGAGGTTGACACCCGCACCACGGATGGCGAGCGAGTTGAGACGTGGTAGAGCCTTGGAATCTGCTCGCTTCAAGGCGTCAAGAAGACGAGTCGAATTTCGGTCCTTGTGCAACCACAGTTCCAAACGGCGGATATTGCCAAGCTCTGGCCAGTCGACCAGCTCGGCCAGCGTCTGGGAGTGCGGATCGGTTTGGTCAGAAATGTGGAGGTGAAGATGAGATAATGTAGGAGATCGGTTTAAGAAACCCGGGATGGACAAGAGAGAGCGGTGTGAGACTGGTAGCCACAGCTTCCTGGCATTCGGAAGCTGGAGAATGGTTGACAGCAGTGAAAGGAAGTGTGCCTGACGCGAACCAATCGTCACAATTGACACAACAGAGGCGCGGCAGACCGTGACGATGGACGACAAGGTGTCGGCCTGGCAGTCTTGCCCACAGGACGTTAGGCCAACCCTGCAGTTGCTTGACAGAAGAGCTAAGACCTTCAGAACATCACGGCTGCGACATTGTGTTAGGTTGCATTCTTCCAACCGTGGCCAGAGCAGGTCGAATGCTGAAGGCACCTGCGTTTCGTCCGTCTGTAGGGTAAATGCAACTAGCAACGGAAACGCCTGCACTACTTCTTCCGGCGCGACGTGTCTGAATAGGCTCGTTCGCCGATCGTCAATGGAGAGCTCGAGTCGTGCCAGCATGTCGCAGCGAGGAAGTGGGCTAGGAAACAAATTTTGTGCAAGATCCCCCATAAAGTTTATGTCGATTTCAGCCTGGCGCCATCGGCCAGCAGCTGCGGCGACTTGAGTGAGTAAAGCCGGGCTGAGCGCGCCAGAATGCTTCAGTAAAATCGATAGCGGGGCCTGGCGAGATCGCTCCATCTGCAGAGTTAATAGCTGCTCCAGTCCCTGCCCCCCGCCGCAAACCTAGACCACTTCTCAGTATTATATTGGACCACAAACACGGGTCGGCGATCGCCACAGCACGCCAACGGGAAGAAACCTGCAGGATCTTGGATAGCAGGTTGTATCGGTGAAAGGGAGGGTAGACTTTGCTGATACAATGAGAGAACACTTCGGCCAGCAGTTCGTTCGAGAGAAATCGGACCCCAGAGATGATCGTCTTTTGTGAAGCGACGGACGACTCCAGTTCTGAGCGTTGTACCCGTAAAGATTCTATCCTTTCGTAAAGCGAGCGTATTTCCTCATCGACGGCGGCAATAGCGGTTGTAGCATCCGCAATGCACCTCTTGATTTCGCGTGTTTGGACTTCATTTGGAATGGTGTCATTATTTTGGAGAAATTCGGGGTGCGGAATTGGGACGACATGGGACGGAGAGGAGGGACAATGAACAGTACACTGAATGGAGCATGTGCTATGCATTGAAGAAGAGTCGTTATTCCACAAGCGAACATACGGCTATGTAGGCATGCTCACTTCAACATTGTTGCGGTTTGGACCAAAAACGGTTTTGACACCTGTCATTGTATTTAGTTGTGTTTGTAGCGGCACATGCGTCAATGCTCGAATATTTCGCTCCGACTCAGGCTCTCCACCTCCAATTCCCTTTGTCTCTCGCATCGAGCCATCTGACATACGCAACACAACAACCAGCAGCAAGGAGCAACACGCCGTCATATACTACGACTTTCTCGAATCTTGCCTTCAACGCTGGCGTCGCGGCATGCATTCTGCTCCCATTTCCACGGCTATGGGTGCCTAGTATCAGTCCCGCGATTGGCGCACCAAGCAGCGAGCCCAATCCTCGAATGAAATAAATGGCGCCGTTGACCCGCGCGTAATTTTCGACACCGTAGATTTCGGTTATGGTCGTGGGGATGAGGGCGTTGTAGCCTCCAGCGTAAATGCCATAAATGACAACGAAGGCGATGAACCTGGGACGAGCGGCATCGTACCAGAGCGCGAATACTGCAAGAGAAGAGAGGAATGCCTGGAAAAAAAGAATTAGCGATAGCTGGAGCCAACGTGTTATTTGACTTGCGCTTGAGACGAGTGTGTTTTGGCGTCCAACTTTGTCCGCAAGGATGCCCATCGCAATACGAGAGACGCTGTTGACAGCGCTGTTTACTGCCACCAGCAAACTGCCCGTCGAACGAGAAGAGGAAAGGACGGATATGGAGTATAGTGGCAGATAGTACACGGGGATGACATTTCCCGCCGCTTGAAGGAGCGCTCCGAGAGCCTGTCATGGTTGAGAAAAGAAGGGGGTCTATTCAAGAAGATTACCTGATAAACGAATGTCCCCCGTCCAACAAGCGCCATGTTTAACCTGGTTCGCGTGTTGGAAGTGCGTTCAAATGAACCTCGTCGACGGACAACGGCGGCAACAGGCAAGCCGATGGCCATGTTCAATCCAGCAAGAATGCGCAGGGTGATATGGATACCGTATCTCTGCAGCAACAACTGGATGACCGGTGCAAGAACAAGCCCACCGACACCAGAACCAGCCAAAACGACCCCCATCGCGAAGCCGCGGTGACGGTCGAAGTATGTTGGTGCCACGCTGATGATGGTGAAATAGTAGAACGAAGAGCCTACACCATAGAGAATGGATTGCGTCAGAAAAAGCTGCCACAGGGTGGAGCTGTAACTGGAGAGCAAGAGGCCGAGACTCATCACAGCTACCCCCATCGCCGAGATAATGTTCAGGTTCTTGGTCCGTCCCATGATTGGGTTGACGAAAATGCCTCCACTCCAAGTTAATCCACTCCCGATTGTCCCGACGAGAGAAACAATGGCATCGTTCCCTCGTGCCGATGAGATGTTGGTTTCTTCAGAAGTGTAAAAGTCCTTTAGGTAAAGCACTTATTCCATTTGAAGGCCTCGATTAACTTAACAATGCTTACCTGGAAGATACCAAAACATGTGTTGATTCCGATAACTTGGAATGTCATGAAGAAGCCTGCAAGGAGGAGAAGAGCTTGGTAGCGGCGCGTTGGCGGTGATTCCTCCGGTTCAGGTCGAATTTGAGGAGGAGGGGGATACAACGACATGAGGGCAATTCGGAAGTATTCGGAGTCGGCGGACCAAGGTCAACGCGACTGGTCAGGTGTCGTATCAATTGCGCAAGAGTGTAAAGTGATGCATTCTTTCCCAACAGGAGCAGGAGGGCAGTAAGAGCGACTTTAAGGCGGGTTTGGGTCAGTGGTTGAAGGGAAAATGGCCAAAGGTCACGTGCCGAAAGCCAGTTGTCTCTGGAACCACACCAAAGTTTAAATTTGGTACAGACATGGAGAACCGCGACTCTACCAATGCTTTCAGTCAACCCACTTTCGACATCCAACGAGTATGAATGCATACAACAACTCGGTACGGTCGAACTCTGCCCAAACTGGACACCACAATAAAAATGCCGATTGCGGTCTTCTTGTGAAGTCAGATAGTAGAGAGGAGTAAATCTGAGCTTGTCTTTGGGACACCATGAAGAGGTAAGTGGCATCTACATATCCTTATTCACGCGTTGAAGCCACCCTCAGCGACTCCTGCGCTAATGCTCTGAAAAAGATACCGGCGGAGCTGCTCTATGACTCGGAAATCTTCGCTTACGCCTGCGAGGATTATACGTGGAGCATTTATCGGACCGCCAACGGTATAACTGAGTTGGCTGCGGTGTGCAAACGATGGAGGGCAGTTCTACTTGACGCGCCACTGCTTTGGAGCAAAATTGACATGAACATGAGATTTCGAAAGCCCGAAATCGAACAATTGGTTGACCTACACCTCCAACGGTCTCAGGAGGCCCCTATTCAAGCAAATCTGTCTTTTTCTTCGGACGAGCCTTGGTCATACCGCGTTCTACACTCCTTTCTGGCCCAAGCACGCCGTCTGCGGGTTTTAGCCATACATGACCACTCCATAAGCAATCCACGCTATATCCAGACTCTGCTCAGTTTCCGAAACGGATTCCCGATGCTCAGAAGACTCGGGATACATTACCACCGGCTTACGCGCGTTAAAGATGCGGAGATTGATTCTTTCTTTGACAAACTTCCGGTCCTGAAGGACTTGACACTGAATCTGTACTCCAACCGCATGCTCTTGTCTGCCACTCGTGTGTTCAGACAACTTGATCGGTGCGAGCTGGCGGAATGTTGGCTGCGCGATATTCTCCTCGTCCTCCCTTATTTCAATGTGCAAACCCATTTGAAGCTGTCATCCTGTCGCAGACGCAGAGACGACATCCATCCAACAGGGATCGTAACTTCCGTTTCGGAGCTTTGGGTGACGGAATGCACCTACACCTTCACCGACTTGCTGTTGGAGAATATAATCACTCCCAATCTGCAACATCTCAAATTATCATCGCACTCCCATCCACGTCATTTTCTCGCGGTCGAACACCTCCTGCAACGCTCGTCATGCTGCCTCACCCACCTCACCGTCGCAGCTGAGCTTTTCCCACCAAAAGATGCAGTATCAGACTTCGGCGCGAACATCCTCTACCTTTTGGGATCAAGTATGTGCACGTCTATAACTGACCTTGACGTCGACGTAGGGAGTCATGGAGACGCATTGGAGAGCTTGCTCGCGAAGCTGGGTGATAACTCGGAATATATTCCCAGGCTTCACACCTTAACACTTAGGTCGGCTTGGAGCGTCCCGATGAAATTGCTTGAAGCTACGATTCTGAAGGCCCATTGTCAGCGCAAGGGGCGTTGGATGCGACTTGTGGTGAATAATTTGAGCATACTCTCGAAGCAAATGGACAACATCCAGAACTTAAAGGATAATGGCTTAAAGATTAGCACTATATCTCGCTCAAGTACCTGCTAGCATGTTATTATCTGACTTGTAAGAGTGGAGCATAACTGCATAAGTACTTAGCACTGACTCGTCAAAACATTCTTGTCTCTCTACACAGGCCCTGCGTCACACAAGTACTTAAGAAGCAAGCTAACTTTTCGCAAGAGCGCCCAGTTTCCGCTCTTTGCGGGTAATGGCAATCTGAAATTAGACGACGCAATTCTGGAGAAGCTGAATAATTACGTCATATCATTCATTTCTCAACCACAACCATCGACTTGAACGAGACCTTTCAGTTTGTCCCAGTCATGCTCAGCCGGTCTTTTCCATGTTTCAAGTCGCTTCCGCAAATGCGCAGCTTCACAAGCAGTTACTTAAGTCTGTGCGTCAACTGTTATGTAAATGCCAGCGAATGGTGGTACTGCGGTCCTTGAGGCAGAAATAGTGCCAGTGCTCAACAACGTATACCCGCTCCGCAACTCCCAGGAGTATGGCAAGTCTTCTGATACACTCCCGTCCTTAATTGCTCACCTGAATGTCAGCCTTTATGACCTTACTTGGCGCCCACTATGGCGAAGTCGACAGACTCTGTGGCCATGAGCATCATCATCGACGATGTGAATATCAAGTCAAGCAACTTTCATCAGGGAATTTGCGCGATCATGGTCAACGTTGACCAGCGCTTACCAACATCACCAGCGCGGCCATGCTGGTGACCCACTTGGCCAACGCCAAGTGAGTGCTTACCAGGGCGACTCACTTTCGCCATCGTTGGCCAAGTTGTCACCAGCTGGCGGATTTTGAGCCAAACTGCACTGGTTACACAGTATTCAATTGCCTCGGAAACAATGCAATATAATGAAGATGGAGGAGACAATGGATAAATTGAATAAAAAAGTACAGAATGAGATAATGCAACTGTAATCATGGCGCAGGATGCGAACCCCATCCAATGGTAGCACCCATAAGATTCATGTAGTAGTGATCCATACACAATTCTGGGCAGCAGCATTAGGAACGGAAAGTAAGGAACAGCCTGACACCCACCGATACACAACCAATGTCAATCCCTTCCGGAATTCCCCCTCCCAATCACCCTCCGCGCCAACTCGCAAGCATCAATCGTACTCGGATGAGGCGATGATAGAGCTTGTGGCATGTTGATGAGTAACCCTTGACCTGTTTGCGAGGTTTGAGCGCTAGCTTGCGGGTGGTTTGAAGGAGTCAGGGCAGATTGAGGCCTGTAGGGGGGTACTTGAGAGCTTGAAGACGACGCTTGAGCTTGTGAGAGGCTTGAGCTTGAGGGAGGCTTGGCATGTAGTCTTGATGAAGGTCCGGGGCGTTCGCTCAAAGAGAGGGGGGTTGGGGGGGAAGAGGGGAAGAGGGCGAAGAGGATGAAGGCAGGAAACAACCCATGACGCGTGTGACGACCCGATCAGATTGTCAACAGATCAGTAATCATCACGCCATCGATGCACGTGCTGATACTTTGGACTTAGAATTTGCCGTTCCTCACGTTGAAAGCAACGGCGGATGTAACCCGACTTGACCCCGACTCAAGATTGTTCAAGTGCAGTATACTTGTAAGTGGATGAAGGCGACACATGTTACAGAGCAGTAATAGCTGATATTATTAATAGTGTGGGCCCCGCTCTGGGCAGCCTGGCGGGATCCTTGACCAGTGCCGGCCAGCAGTCGACCAGGCTTTTGCCAGCATGGCACCGAGTTCATGAGACAGACGGCGTATGATCAGCGATTGCCAAGCCGTCGCCGAGCTGATCTCAGCTGATCAGCGGCACCAACGGACATCAGGGTCGTGCAAATTTCCTGATGTTCCAGGCGGGTTCCACACGCAGCCTTCATCCTTTCCGTCTCGATATAATAACACCTTGCTGGCTATTGCGTATATGCACAACAATGGACCCAACCGAGATCCTCGTACTTAGTGCATTTTGCAGGAACCTCAATTTCCCTGTATGGCGTAACACCTCCGACGCTTCCTTATTTGAACGGGACAAACTTCAATCAAACGATCTTGCTAGGCGACTCGACTCGTTCTGGCTCGGACACCAGTAATGTCAAAACCTATACGCCTTACACATACCCCTCTCCTGCGACATTGGGCCTGATAGTCGCCTCCGGAAACGCGACGACATCAGGTCCGGTCTCTCTTGGACTGATGAATTTTCTGGGCTTGGCGATAGACTACATTGTCGTTCAAGTTGGAGAGTTCACCAACATCGAAGGAGAGACGGCTTTAGTTGATGATACGAGCGGGGAGATTCAATGGAGTGGAGGGTGGGCTGTCAAGCGCGATTACCAGCTTCGAGGCAACTGCTCCCTCCCTACATTCCCTTACTCCCCCAACAACACAAGACCCGATACTCCGAAATTTCTGACGACATTTTTTCCCCATGGCAACTCCACGCACTCAAGTGCCAAAGCTGGAGATTCATTCCAGTTTCTCTTCTCTGGTTTGTTGTGCAACTTTATGAGGATGCTCACTAAATCCCTCTCCAGGCACCTCCGTTGCTGTCTATGGTGTGTCTCCCGGCAGTACCGCCACGGACGACTGGGAGCTGAACATGACGTTCGATATTGATGGCAACAAGGCCAACCAATCGTACACTGCGAGCTTGCAAAATGGTGTTGTCGCTCCGCATTTTGAGTACTTCTCGGCTACTCTCTCGCAAGGGAGCCACACATTGACTGCGACCATTGTCAATGCTGCAGGGAATGTCCTGCCGTCTGCCCAAATTGACTACATCACCTATGCTCCGGATTTTGGGACCCCTCATGACCGACCAATGTTCCCCGTCCCTTCCTCCAGCTTCTCCGCATCATCGACGGCATCAAATGTACCGTCATCTTCTTCAACAATGAGTGGAAAGAAGGTCGCGGGAGGTGTAATTGGAGGTGGCGTTGTGGCTGGGATCATTGGACTGGTCGGTCTTGTAGCTGTTGCCTGGTTATTGCGGTCAAGGATGAACAAGAAACACGCGGCGCAACAAGAACAAATCGAAAGAGAGGCCCGTTTGGTTGGTGAGACCCAATGCGATGTGCCTTTATGATACTGACTGTGTCCTAGCCCCCGAGCCGTTCTTGGCTCCGAGTAGCCCGATGAGCAGAAGAGAAAAAACCCTGTCTTCGAATCCGCCGCTATCTGGTGCCGGTGGTATCTCTGTCGCGGGTTCATCGGCATCTCAAGCTCCAACAATGCGCGAGGGGTTTGGGGAGGCCTCTGGCTCTGTGGATGAACGAGTGAGACAGCTGCAGATCGAGATGGAAGGTCTTCGACATCAAGTACATAGCCGCGGCTCGTTTCCCTCGACAGCACCACCAGCTTACACAGATAGCGGACCAGTAGAAGATTAAGTTGCACAGTTGAAACCATCGAGAACAAGTTTCGGTAGCCATACAATATACATTAACCATTTTTTTGAAGAAGCATACACTACAGAACCAGGTTTTAATTGTGCCCAAGATACTAAACTGGACTGGCTCTGGGACCAAAATGTGTATCGAAGTAGTCCTGACTCGCCTTGATCGCGTCAAAGTCGGTCAAATATGCCCGGAAGTCTGCGTCTAGAAGAATGAGTTTCAAGCAGCCTAAGAAATCATCCATAACTTACTTTTTGTGAACTGGACACGGTTCTCCGGGTCAGCCTGCGCGACAGACTGTTGGTTGACCCAGTCGCCGCGCTCTTTACGAAGGGTTTCGAATGCGGCCAGTCTTTCTGGCACTTGCGCTGGAGTTGTACCCGAGGGGAAGAGGATGCCGAGGCAGCCGGCTTCTTCGATGGCCATAGCGGCGCCCTGCGCAAGCAAAGGCAATGTAGCATGTGCAGCATCTCCCATGATGACTGTGCGTCCTTTGACCCAGGTCTGAAGAAGCGGCATGGCCCGAAGTTGCCATCGGATGATTGGAGTAGTGAGCGGAAGGTCAAATAAGCGAAGGAATTTTGCGTGGAATGCAGGGTATCGCTCTAAAACAGCTTCCTTCGACACGGGTTGAGCTATGGCTGTGGCATCATTAGCAAACCGTCGTTTTAACCGAAGACCAGGAAGAAAGCGGCGCACGTGACTTTGGGTCCCGTTCTGGATCAGTGTGGAATGCGACAAAGTTCACGAGCGTCTTGTCCCGAACACCGTAGATTATATACTCCGAAAGTTGAGAGCCCTCTAATCGGACATTATTCAGATTATTGATGGCCCAGTTATCTTCCGGATGCTCCTCGATTTTTGACGCATCGAATAGGCAGCGATAACACGCCCACCCAGTCGGTACTGCCTGGACGTCTTGACCTATCACACTTGTTCGGACAATTGACTATCAAAACCCTTAAGAACATGATAAACAAACCACAGCAGACTCACATGGACGCCGTCAGCCCCGATGACAACATCTGAGGCCACTGTTTGACCACCTGAAAGAGTGATACTTGCGGCGTTTGCATCACAGCTGACGACCTTATTCCCGAGATGCAGTCTCGCAGGAGGGCCATTCAAACGACCTTCCTCGGTGGCAAGTCGACGAAGCTCGGCATGAAGGTCGCTTCGATGACAAGATAAGTTCTTGGCAAGCATCAACTAATGTGGAACGTGATGTAATGGATTATAAGCATACCTCGATGCCTTCGTTCTTGAGGGCTTCCCAGTTTCGTGTTGGGTGTTGATTGGACTCCGCTGTCTCAGCATTGTGAATCGTCATCTACGTTGAAACCGCTGGATCAATCAGGATTGGAGGTCTGGTCAAACCACAAACCCAATCGAAAACGCTGCCTTTGAGATTCTCCCGCTTGAAACCGAGAAACTTGAGAACACGGACAGCGTTTGTTTGCATTCCAACTCCGGCACCGATTTCAGTCTTGATTTCGGACGACTCATAGACCTTGTTTGGGTATTTAATTCGAGAATAACTGCCTGGGCCGCGTATGAACACTCACATCAACAATGTGGCCAGCTTTTCTCAGCGCCGCCGCGACTGCCAGACCTCCAATCCCGGCACCGACGACGATGACATTCAAAGGTCGGACTTCGGTGCTTGCCATTGATGCGAGGGAAGGAGCTCACAGACACCACATGTTTGCGTGCTTTTATACGGTTACCGAATAATTCGAAGTTGCGATCGTGAGAGAGGCGACCAAAAGTCAATGATGAGTTTGGTGTTTTTCTCCTTCCCCGCTTCCAATTGCTGTTAGACAAACTCAGAGCAATATAGCAGCACGCACCATAGAGTCGGCCATAGCTTTCCGCGAGCGGTAACTGCGCATATCACTGGTATATCGCGTCGACTTCTTCTATCGGGATTGATGAAGGGCGGTCTAACCAAGCAGCTTCGAACTTGGTAAGCAGCGACAGCTTGTGTGAATAACATGTAACTCGCTCCAAGTAGCACAAAGTATGCAGCTCAGACTGGCACTGGTGCGCTAGAGGGGGGAGATGCTGAGCCATTGGCTGCCGGTTGAGTGCCAGGCCGCCTCAAGGCTGCTTGCATTGGGGAGAGTAATTGTGGTTGGATGAGATACTTGGGAGAGGCCATTCTACCGAGGATAATCGGTTAATTGACGCATATGCGCTTTGCTGAAGCCTGAGAGTCTGGCTGAGACCGTTTTTCCATTTCTAATGATCTCTCTGTCAACATGCTACTCATTAGACATGCACAGAGCAAGGGCTAGCGCATTTACAATGATACCAGTTGACGATAGCAGTCACTGGCAAGACCTTGCTCGTTGCTGTCAACATTTTCGTTTGCTCGAGGTGGTTGATGTGACAGGATGTGACCAACGTCGGCAACTATTCCCTGTCAAACCATAGGATTCCAATCCTCGAGCTCTAGTCGACACAACTACTAGTACCACACGTATATTCTGGAAAAGCCTCCAGGGCTCTACATTTCGATCTATTTCGATTGACTCATCCTCGGGAAATCTTTTTCGAAAGCGGCGCACTACCGAACCTGGCCAGCTCCAAAATGCTTCGTGAAATATTCCTCACTTGTCTTCATCGTGTCGTAGTCCCACAAATACGCCCGGAAGTCCGAGTCTAGGAGCATAAATCAAAACCGCATCAGGGAACCGTCGCAACTTACTTTTCGTGAACTTGACGCGGTACTCCGGGTCTGCCTGGGCAACGGACTGCACATTGACAAACTCGCCGCGTTCTTTGCGCAGGTCTTGGAATGCGGCGAGTCGGGCGGGTACTTGGTCTGGAGTTGTGCCCGCGGGGAAGAGAACCCGCAGACAACCAGCTTCTTCAAGCGCCAACCCAGCCCCTTGTCCCAGCAGCGGCAGCGTCGCGTGAGCTGCATCACCGATGATGGCAGCCCGGCCCTTGATCCAAGTGGGGAGGAGCGGCAAGGCGCGAAGCTCCCATCGAAGAACGGGAGTCGCAAGAGGAAGGTCGAATAGATGGCGGAATTTCTCGTGGAACGTCGGGTATCTTGCCCAAATCTCTTCCTTGGTTGCAGGTTGCGCGATAGCTAAGTTTATCAGTGAAGAAACAAAAATAATAGATGAAAAAAACCTCACGTCTTTTGGTATCCCGCCCCTCGTGGCTATCGAACGCAACAAAGTTGATCAGCGTGCTGCCACGAACGCCGTAGACGATGTGCTCGGCGAGCTGAGAGCCTTCTTGTCGGATGGTATTCATATTCTTAAGAACCCAGTCGAATTCCGGGTGATCATTGATGTTGGATGCATCGAACATGCAGCGGTAACACGCCCATCCAGTCGGTTCTGCTTGGACCTCTTTCCCCAAGACGCTTGTCCGGACGATGGACTGGCGCAATTGTGAGAAGACGATGACTTAGTAAACACACACACTCACATGGATACCATCGGCCCCGATGACAAGATCTGAGGTCACCGTTTCACCGTTGGCAAGGGTGATAGTTGCAGCCTCTGGGTCACAACTGACGACTTTGTTACCGAAGTGCAATTTTGCAGGCGGCCCATCGGCAGCATCTTTCTCGGTAGCAAGTCGAAGAAGCTCGGCATGAAGGTCGCCGCGATGACATGAGAAATTCTGCCCGAGCGTCGATCACTAGAAAACGACAACAAACACCATACCTCGAGGCCCTCTTTTCTAAGGGAATCCCAGTTGCGCGTTGGGAATTTCTTGAACTTTGCTGTTTCGGCATTATGGATTGTCATCTACTGAGGTTATTGCGTGGCTCGAGAGACGGGAAGGGCAACTGACCCCATCGAAAATCCCGCCTTTCAGATTTTCTCGTTTGTAACCCAGAGATTTGAGCACACGGACGGCATTGCTTTGCATTCCAACTCCGGCGCCGATTTCTGTTTTGACTTCGAAGCTTTCGTATACCTTGTTTGCGTGAGTAAGGACTCAGGAATTCAATAACGCTCACGTTGATAACATGTCCACACTTTCTCAGCGCGGCTGCGACCGCCAGTCCACCGATACCAGCGCCAACGACGGTTACGTTCAAAGGTCTTGCTCCTGTGCCTGTCATAGAAAATAAGAGCTAGTTGGCCAGGTTGCCAGATGTTGGCGCGTCTTTATACGAGAATTCGAAGACGCGAGTCGGATGAGAGAGACCAAGGATGAGTGGTGCGTGCGGCGGAGGTGGACGTGGACGTGGACATGGAGGAGGAGGAGGAGGAGCTGGAGCCGGCGAAGGCAGACGCGGACGTGGACGTGGAGGCGAAGGTGTCCTTCGACGGCTTGGAGGTGGAGCTTCGGTCTTGGCGCCACGTCGCCGGATGACAAGTCCACGCGGTCACGTGTTTTTACTTTTAATTTGGACTTGCGCGATTTTATACATTTTGGCATGGTTTTGGCTGGAGTGAGTTTGAGATGTACCTGAAAACGCGTCAATTAAGCTTAACAAACGCGTGCTCCAGGAAGAGAACACCATTCTGCACTTTCTACAGTGCTGGGCCAGGGTTTCCCCTCCCGAAGGTAAGGGCAGTAGCGGCAACAAAAAAAAAAGTGATGGGGGGAATGACAGCTGGACACTCACTTCTGGAGGAAGAGCCAAAGTAGTCTCTGGTGTGCATATTGGGTGAACCAACACTGTGAGCTGAAGCCGCAACAGCCTGGGTCTGTTACAGTCAAGAGCAACATTTGGCCATGGGTCAACCAACAGTAGACAAAAGCTTTGGGGTAGTCAGACAAAGGCTAGACAGGCCAGGAAGCATTAGCACTCACCAATGGCCATAGTGACGACGAGGGAAAAGAGGAAGAGACAGAATATGTGTGACCACTTGGCGTCACCTCCTCTCGGAATATTTGATCGGACCTTGCACATTACGGCCTAGACTGTTTCATCTCAGTCGTGAGTTCAACTCCCGCATCTGCATTTTCTTGTCCTGGCAGAGAGTTATATATTATACTCTAGTTCTCAAGTCCATGCTTGCTGTGACTTCTGCAATGTTATGAAAAGTGGGTAAAATTGATATCTATGACAATTCTAAGTCAAAGTCTGGTGTTTGGAGTGGGATGAGATATCTGTTAGAATAGCAATTGTCAAGAATATGAAAAGTTGGTAAAAAATGAATTATTGATTATAGAACTGAGGTTTTGACTCTATATGTGAAGATCAATACCCAAATCAGGAGTGGCTGTGTTTTGATTAAGACGGCGGCATTACATGACATGTCCAACAAAGTCATGGTTTAGCTTGCGACCTTATCCTCTCCTATTATTGAAATTATAGTATAGGTCAATTCAGTGGAGATCTGAAATTGGTCACCAATAAAAAGTGGGTAAAAATGAATTCATATCCCAAAAGAGTAACTTTTGATCCAATGAGCAAGGTTTGGCTAGGAATACTTCCCAGAAAGGTAATTTTTGAAAAATAAAAAGTGTATAAAATCAATTGTCATTGGAAAATAGATCAAATCAAGATTTTGGCAAGGATCACTTTCCAGAATAGTAATTTTTAGAAAATAAAAAGTGTGTAAATTTGTTCATGCTGACAAATATAGCTCGATGTGCTAGTCAAATGCAGACTTGGCTATAAGTAAAAAGAATCAATTTCTTGATATGTAGAGCAGAATTTGGCTTAGGTTGCTTCAAATCAGAAGTGACTATGTTTTGATTGGGATGGCGGCATCACATGACATGTCCAACAAGGTCACAGTCTAGCTTCACAGCCTTATCCTCTCTTATTGTTGACATCATAATTCAGCTCAGATCTAGAATTGGTCAATGAAAAGTGGGTAAAAATCAATTCTCATCCAAAAATAGTAACTTTTAATCCAATGAGTCAGATTTGGTAATTTTTGGAAAATAAAAAGTGCATAAAGATCAATTCTCATCATAAAATAGATCAGATCAAGATTTCGGCTGGGATCACTTCCCAGAATAGTAATTTTCTCAAAACAAGAAGTGGGTAAATTTACTATGTGGCTGCTAGCCAATAAATAAAAGTAGGTGAAAATCAATTCCTTAACATTTCCTGATGAGCAGAACTACTTCCCAGAACGGTAATTTTTGGAAAAATAAAAAGTGCCCAAAAATCAATTCTCACCGCAAAATACATCAAATCAAGATTTTGGTTAGGATCACTTCCCAGAATGGTAAAGTAAAAAGTGTGTAAATTTGTTCAGGCTGACAAATATGGCTTCAAGTTCATGCGCTAACAGTAGGTCAAAAATCAATTTCTTGATATGATAAGCAGAATTTGGCTTGGGTTAGAAGCAGACTTGGCTATTAATAAAAAGTGGGTAGAATCAAATAAAGTTTTCAACTAGCCAAAAGTAGAATAAGCCCAATAAAAAGTAGGCAAAAATCAAATAAAAAAGTCTGTTGGTCAAAGTCTGAGGCTGGGAAATCTAAATTTACTCTCAAAACCGATTCATGGGTAAAAACAACTTATAAGGTTTTGTTCAGGCAGACAAATATGGCTTGATATGCTAGCCAAGCCAAAGGCAGACTTGGCTACAAATAAAAGTAGGTAAAAATCAATTCCTTGACATTTCTGGAACTGGCACTGGTAATTGTCAGCAAAAAGTGAGTAAAATCACATTTGCACTGCTGAAAGTAGACTTGGAGCCCAATAAAAATAGGTAAAAAATCAAATCAA